TAGCCGCCTCCAAAATATCTTCTTCATGTCATTCGGCATTGCATTTTCGATCTGTGATAAATGTTGATGAAAATCTTTACCTTTATTCTTAATTCCTCAAAAAAAAATATTTACTTCTTCATTTGTTCCATAGGCTCTATGACCTAATTCATTGTGAAAAATATATGTCAAGCGGATCCAAAGTGATCCTACTTGAAAATGTGGGGGATTGATGACGATAATATCATCCGTAATCTTATTCCAATAATGTAGGAGAGTGTTATCCTCCTCCGCAGTTCAGGAAAGTGGTACATTTGTCACCATTTTCTGATCTCCTCCCATGGACTTCATTAATATTGGAACAACCCAAAATAATTCCGTTAACGATATTAATCTTCCGTTACTTGAATGATTGTTCTTGTAAAATGATTTTGATTTTATGATAATAAATTAAATAAGACGGTGTTAATTAGTATCTAAAAGAATTAATCAATATTTAAAAGGTATATAGATTAATTTATATATAATTCATTTGAAAGGCATAAATGATGTTGAGGGGCCTAAAGTGACATTAAAGAAACTTAAAATCTTAGCTTGTCTAGGGTTGGGGTTTAAAGTGTAAAAATACGTAAATGGAGGGACCAAATAGCAAAATTAGCCAAAAAAACTCTCTTTCAAAGAGGGGCATTTGAAAAAAAAAAAATATTGTTTATTCGCTTATAGCTTATTAGCTTATAAGATAATAAGTTAGAGGGTGGTAACTTATGAAAAAATGGCTTATTAGCGATTTGCCACTATTATAGCTTATTAGCTTATTCATGGGCTATTGTTTTGTTGTTGTGTTGATCAACAAGAAGAAAGAAAAAAAAATTGAGCAAGCGAATGGGTTGAGTGGAAGACGGGAAACAAACATGCTTGGGTATCGAGTTCATTGGTTTCGCATAAGGGAAGGACAAAAATCCCAAACATGGTCAAACTTTTGATTTAATCTTTGTTATGTGTTTAAGATGCGATTAATAGCTTTTAACTATCAATCAACCGCCCAATACCATTGGAAAACTACCTCCGCCCCACCATGTGCTTGTAGTTGGATTTGGAACTGATTCGTAACTTTTAGAGTTTGTTTTTTCTGGTCAATTCATGTCATGTTGATATTATTTTGCTTGAAGGGTTAAATACTATAAGTATGGGTTGGTTGCATGTTGGTGTGGGTTTTTGTAATGGAAATCATATTGAGTAACCTTGATTGTTTCTTCCTTTGATTCAATCTTTTATAGATATTGGTGGAAGTTGTTAGACCTTAATAATGTCCGGAATATACTCCTAAAAGTACATAATTAACACATAAGTATGTGTATGTATTTGTAGAAAAGACTAAACAAATATCTCATTGTATCCATGTGTATTGTGAATGTTATGTGTGTTTGAACCTATAAGAAGTTCGGTAAACATAACCAATAATGAAAATATGTAAAAGAAACATTTGAGTCTCATTCACATAATTCCTACAGTCTTGATGGGTTAAGCCAAACTTTAAAGCCTAAGATGACCTTTTTCAAAATCAAATATTGACAAATTTGTTGACCTATCTTGCAAGGGATGTAGAGCTCATTTTGGTCCGAATTAGACAAAATCACTATAGGAAACAAGTTGTGGGAAATTGGGTCTAGTTTTCAGAAACTCTAATATCACCCCTTTTGGAGTTTTAGATTCTGATTTATGCTCAAAACACTGATCGGGGGTCAAGCTCGAAAATTCAAAAACTCTAATATAAAGGAATATAAACCTAATTGTAATAATAACATTATATTTGTGAAAGTAGTAAACTTGAAAACACTTAGTAATATGATTTTTTGGGTTTGTTTAAGGTATTTAGTAGTAGTGTTTGGAGGTTGCCTATTTTTTTACTTTACTCCTAACAGGATTTGAGGTGAGTTAATCCTTGTTGTAAACTTTAGTAAATTGTTGGGAAAGTGTGTATCTTAGGAATATATCAATTGATCAAATTTGATATGTTATGCTATATGTCCCTGTTTGTATATGTTATATGTGTTTGATGGATTGAAAGTCTACCATGGAAATATAACTGAGGGTGTATTGCATGCTAGATGTTTTATGTAATGACGTGGAGTGAATTATGAGGGTATGTTCATGATAGTGTAATGACTACGGGTTGATTATGATATGTGATTATTATACATGTTATGTTATAGAAGATTTATTTGTTTATGGTATAGTACAATTTCATGCTAGTGATGTAATATGCTTTAATTTGGTGTTGATAAAATAGGCATGATAACATAGTGATGTATAGTGTCATATAATGATGTAATATGCTTTAATATGGTATTGATATGATATGCATGATTACATAGTGATATAATGTGCTTTGATAAAGTGCTTGATTAATTATACATGATTACATATGGAAGAATAATGATGATTTGTGTATGGCCCTTATGTGTTAATTTAAAAAAATATTTAATCTAGGTAAAACACTTAGAAGGGAGAGGGTAGTAACCTAAACTTAGGTGTGTATCTTATCTGAATATAATGATGACCTATTAGGTTGAAAGAGTACCTAAAGGAAAAGAGATTTTTAGCCAAGGCATAGCTAAATGGTTTTTCTAGAAAGCTATTTCGATACATGGTCTCTCGAGGAAGGGTTGGAGTGATGTTGGTGGGGTGTTGACGCCAGATCAAACATCACATTTGAGTGGAGGGTAAATACGATATAGGATACTAGTTGTACCACTCTCGAATGATAAACACATTGTAATTGTACATGCAACATTAGAGTAGTGAATGCAACATATCCAGGACAATGTTACGAGTGAGAGTCACACCTCATTTAGTGCAGTGGTTCGAACCGGCCACGTTAGTAGTGAATGGTGTAATTTCTTTTGGGGTTAGCAATTATATAAACCGATATTAGGAAAGAATAACGTGGTGAATTAAGAGAAGAAATAATGTTATGGCTAATAAAATTATTAACTATAACGAATAATAACTATTAATAATTACTACGAAGATTAAAAGTATTGATAAGGCGAAGATTAATAAATGCAATATATTATAGTGATGATATGTGATTTGTCTCTGAAGTAACACTATATAAAACATGTTATGTGATGATAGTTTGATTGGTTGATCCGTATGAGATATGCATGTTTTCACCTTCATTTTACTTATGATTGGCTCACTAAAATGTTGCTAACACTTCGTCTTGTTGTTTTTTGTCATGTTATGCCTTGCAATGATACAAGTTGCTTAGGCGTGGGCCTTGGTGAGGTGGGGAACTTATTTTGGGTAGTTATGTTTTATGATGATAACACTTGGACATGTCTTATTGGTCATAATCGTGGTATTAAATTAACATACTTAAATGGAGGCCTCAAATCCAACCCAAACACATTAGCTATTGGAAAAGTTTATTCGTAGTATGTTGCTATTTTCTTGCATTTAACCTTAAATTTGCTTCAGATATTAACTAATTCCTCTCTTTTTGAAGGTTGGACAACTTGGAATCAAGATCATCGTCACTGGTATTCAGGTGTGACTAACATATGTAGGTTAACGGAAGAAGTCATCCAAATGTGTGTTTTTTGGTTTTTCCTCTAAGTAAGTTGGTGATGTTTTGGTCATAATGCAATTTATTATACCATTTATACATATTTTTAATTTTATTAGTACATAGGGACCATGTTTATAATTTTCTTTTACGCATTTAAATAGGGCATTGTAAATTTAAAATTAAATAGGGACCATTTATATAACTTTATATTTCATAAGGGTAATACGATTATTTTTTATCATTCACCACAGTCAGTTAAAAATATGATTAAACAACATGATTTCAGTCAGATGTGGACTCAGTCAGAAGCTCTAACTTAATCAAGAACTATCAAACGATACTAAGGGGTTGTAGGCAACTAACAAGTTAACGACTGGCAGCGAAAATATTACAAAAAAAGTACATGTTCTACGCATTTCTTGCTATATATTTACGCATATACATATAAATCTAAGTATATTAATTTGTAAAACGAGTTTGGTTTGTTGAATTCATTGTTGAAAACAAACAAAATAAAAAAAAACAAAATCTTCAAAGGATATAGGGGTGCAAACGAGCCAAGCTACTCGTGAGCTACTCGGGATCGGATCGCTAAAAGCTCGACTCGAAACCGATTTTAGACGAGCCCGAGTCGAGCTCGAGCTTAATCTTAAGCTTATTTGTTAAACGAGCTCGAGTTCGAGCCTATGTCACTAAACTCGATTAGGCTCGTGAGCCTAAACGATCCTTTATGTAATATGATTTCTTATTTTTTTATATATTAAAATAAAAACATATTTGTGGATTAGGAATTTAGGGTCTTAGTAAGCGAGCTTGTTAACGAGCTCGAGCCGAGCTTAAGCTTATTTAGGCAAGTCAGACAAAAAACGAGCCAATCACAAGCCCGAGTCGAGCTTGTATGATTATTTACGAGCTCAATCCGAGCTCAGTACAAGAAGCTTGAATCGAGCCGAACTCGAGCTCGAGCCTCTTAGAACTTAAACGAGCCCGAGCCGAGCCTGGAATGACATTCGGATATAAGACGTGGGCCCCATATTTGTAGGACCAAACTTCACTAATGGGTCATAGGGTTGAAACATTTTTGTATACTCCAGAAGGCCTTATTATGAAATGGATGGTCATTTTGCCGAAAAAATGATTATTTTCTTTTAATTGTCATTAGCATTTGGTTTATATATATATATATATATATATATATATATATATATATATATATATATATGTGAGTTCAATTGAGAATAAAAAAAAAATTAAGAATGAAGGAATCATTCTCAGTCACTCATTTAATCTAAGCATAAAAAGACACGGTGGCAAACTTGTAAATATGTTAATAACCTTCAATGTCAAATACGTAACTATAGAGAATTTGATAATAGTTCGTTCATCCTCAAAATTTCTCCTCCAACCTTTGACAATCATCAAGATTTCTTCAACTAAACCATAATCAATGCCATCCAGTGTTAATCAATCATCTATATTCATAGCTGGGAGGTTCGATGTTCAAGACAAATTCGCAATCCAATTCATCAATTTCATCGATTTGTTAAAGTTCATAACGGATTTGGAACTAGAGTTTCCCAAATTCGCAAACGAAATCAGTTGGAATCAGAATTTCTTCGTTGTTCTTGAAATTGGAATCGAAGTTCTGGACTCGCAGTCACAGTTGACATTGAAGGACTCAGAATCGGTACTCACAGGTTCCCAATTGGATTTTCGGAAATCAAAATCAAAATGAAAAATCGATCAGACATAGGATGTCGTATCTGAAGTCAAAATCGAAAGTATATGATGATTTGGAGTTGATAACTTGATGTTTTTAACATTTTTAAAATAGTTAACTTGTATGCACTCCAACTGTTTGATGAAATGCATAAACTAAATTACCACGTTATATTCACATATGAGTATATTTTCTCACCTGAATCAGTATATGATTATTAAAAACACAAAACAAATATGCAAGTCTGTATGTCATTCATATGTGAATAACATATAAAAATTATATATATATATATATATATATATATATATATATATATATGTGAAAATACCTTCTAATATTCATAAGTGAATATATTCATAAGTAAATATACCTTGTAATATTTATATGTGAATATACTGTGTAATATTCATAAGTGAATATACTATGTAATATTCACATGTGATATACCATGTAATACTATGTAATATTCACATATGAAAATATCATTTAATATTCATAAGTGAATATACCATATAATATTCACAAGTAAATATACTCTGTTAATATTAACAAATGAATGCATCGTCCAATATTTAAATATGAATATACTATGTTTATTATATGTTATATTCATATATGAATGATACTTAAATTGTAAAAAAAAAAAAAATCATACTTTTTATTCATAAGTGAATAATGAATGTATTTTAATAAAACTTGATGCATTTTTATTCACTTATAAATAACGATAGCTGAAAATATTTAAAAAAAATTATTATATTTTAAAACTATATCAATATAGATGTCTATTTGTAGAAAATAAAAAATCATGAATTTTGGTATATTTAAAATCATTTTTCGATAAAAATAATTTCTTGAATATAAAAACAAACGAAAAAAACTATGTTTTTGTATATATAAGGTAATAATTAGCATAGTTTAAGGAAATATGTTTTCTTGGGAAACACATGTCTATTAATTTCTCATTCCCGCTGGTAAGACGGAGGCTTTTACGGCAAAAATAAATGAGTGACTGAGAATGATTCCCCATTCTCAACCTTTTTTTCTCAATTGAACCATCCCCTATATATATATATATATATATATATATATATATATATATATATATATATATATATATATATATATATATTTGAACTATCCAAGTATTTTTTTTATAAACAAAATTCAATTATAAATATGTGAATTTAGTTGAGAAATTAAGTTTATCTTAATTAGCCAATTAGGGATGTACAAAAACAGGATCTTGTCCACAAACTTGATTCGATCAAAATCGGATTTAGTGGATCTAGATTGGATCAATCCGATCCGCAAGATCAAATACTAAGGCTTAAATCGGATTTAGTGATTTACGTAAGACTCTCTATTTGTGAGCCGATCACCAAAGATCACCATAAAATGTATTTAGAAAAAATAAAAAAAGCAAGAATTCTCTCTCATTACCTCAACATAGGCGACCCCTCTCTCTCACACACACTCTTTCTCTCTCTCTCTCTCTCTCTCTATATATATATATATATATATATATATATATATATATATATATATATATATATATATATATTCTATTTATTTTCTTTACAAAGACTTTATCTTATTAAAAAGGGAATAATATTTATTAGAAAAATAAATAAAATACTTAAAAATCCATAAAATGAATCTCTCTACAAATAAGACCAACATTTGATATATTTTTATGTTTTTTTAAAAGGAAAAATCGCAATAAAGTCCCTAGATATTGACCTAATAATCGATTGGGTTAATATCACAAAAGTCCTATGTTTTTGGCACTAAATTGGAAAAAGCCCCGAATTTAATTTTTCATTTACTGTGACCATGACATTTTTTTTGAGTTATCGTTTGAGGGCAAAGAGCCGGTCATTAACAGGTAACATGTATCATCCGGTCACCACTAAGCTATTATGTAGCCATCACCTTTCACGAACCATCACTGCTAAAGGGTTTTTCATGCATCTGAGAAGGTTTTGATGCTGAGAAGAGTTTTACAGTCCCCAATTTCGCAACTTGAAGCTTCGAAATCGTTGGTGAAGTAAGGTTGGAAACAAGGTACGTGTATGGAAACAAGAAATTGATGATTATGAGGGTGGTTATCTTCGTCTATGGAGTTCCAAGTTTGAACTAACAAGTTGTGTTTTTGTTTTTTTATGAAATAGATGGCTTCTACTTCTGGAACTAAGAAGCCTAAAGGGCCTAAGCTCCCTGAGAAGACATATCTTCCAGACTCTAACTCCGATGAAGATGCATTTGAATTTAGCTTCTTGGATTTTTCTGAAGAAACTTTCAAAGCCCCCTTAAGACTATGTGATGATCAGTTGCTTAAATTATTGTGTGATGAAAACGTATTAAGGAGGAGTATTGATGGAATGGTAGATGATGGAGACATTCCTGGTGTCTAACAAAAAGAGCATGCCCACTTATATGAGGACAATGAAGATGTTGGTGTGGAGTATATGGTGTATGATCCCAATGTTGACTGGAAAGATATGAGGCCCCGATTAGGAGACTGTTATGAATCCCCTGCTCAACTCAGGTTTGCTTTAACTAACTATGCAGTCCATGGAGGGTACCAACTTTATTTTGAAAAAAGTGATAGAGTGAGGGTTATAACTAAGTGTGGTAGTGGAACCAGGGACATCAATGATAAGAACAAAATGTAATGTACATTTAGGGTTGCAGCTGGATGGAAGTACAATGAAAGAACTTTCCAGATAAAATTTTATAATTAAATGCATCTGTGTGCTAGGAATTATCATTTTGGTTCCTTGGTTACTAGTAGTTGGTTAGCCAAACACTACCTGAAAGATGTAATCATGAAACCCAAGATGACATTGCTAGATATGCAAGCAGATGTGCTACAAATGTTTTCAGTGAGTGTATCTCTTGGGAAATGCCAAAGAGCAAGGGCTACTACAATGGGGATGACAAAAGGGAAGTTAGAAGACCACTATGCCAAGGTTTCGGATTATGCAGCTGCAATTAGGTTGAGTAATCTAGGTACAACTTGCTTGGTGGGGGTAGAAAATAATATGGGGTTTAACTATTTCAAAAGGTTTTATGTTGGCTTCAAGGCTTTCAGAGATGGATGGAGCAGAGGATGTAAAAGGGTAATAGGACTAGATGGTAGTTTCGTGAAGGGGCAGATTAAGGGGGAAATTTTAATTGCTATTGGGAGGGATGCAGACAACCATGTCTACCAAATAGCATGGGTAGTTGTGAATGTTGAGAATAAGGACAATTGTACCTGGTTCATTGATAATTTGGTTGCTGATTTGGATCCTGGTGCTAGCAATGGATTGGTTGTTATCTCATACCAACACAAGGTACCACAACATACACTAGTATACAATATATATTTGTATGTCGCAGTCATTAATATTTACATGTGTTGTGTTGTGTTTGTTTGTTAATTATAGGGACTTTTACAGGCTGTGGCAGACCTACTCCCTAATGTTGAGCACAGACAATGTGCTAGACACATCTTTGCAAACTTTAGAAAGAAATTCATAGGATTAGAGCTAAAGAGTTTGTTCTGGGAAGCTGCTATGAGTACAGTATAAGGGGACTTTCTTGCTACAATGGAGAAGATAAAGAAGATAACAGAAACATGATACAATTATATTATGGCAACGAAACCTGAAACTTGGTGCAGAGCATTCTTTTCTCATGGGTATGCTTGTGAAGCAGTAGAGAATAGGGTTGCAGAATGCTTCAATGCCATGATCAAACAAATAAGGAAGAAGCCTATAATCACACAATGCTAAAGGAAATAAGGATTCTCCTTATGAAAAGGTTTTTTCATCAAGGTCAAGAGGCCACCAAATGGAGGGGTAATTATGGGCCTAACATACAACTGAAGCTTAATGAATTTGGGAAAGATATGAGGTAATATAAGTTTTTATTGGCATGTATCCAAAAATATTAAGTATGTATTTATATGTGTACTTTGTTTGTTTTGTGTGTAGGTTGTGGACAGTGGTGTTAAGTGGTGGTGATGTGTTTGAGACTAGGTATGGCTACAATGGATACAAGGTTGATTTATCTAATCACACTTGCACCTGCAACTTGTGGATGTTGTCGGGTATACCATGTGTGCATAGTCAAGATGCAATCAACTATGTCCATAAAGATCCAAGTGAATTCATTTCTTCTTGGTTCCACAAGGACAAATATGTTGCAACCTACAGTCAGAACATACAACCTGTTGGTGGAAGCAACTTGTAGCCAATGACCGAGTTTATTAAACCATTACCACCCCTAGTTAGAAGGATGCCTGGAAGACCCAAAGTAAATAGAGTGAAGCATGCATCTGAATCAGAAGATGCCAAATACCCATCTCAAAGGTTAAAGGTTACTAGGACTGTGAGGTGTGGAAAGTGCCAACAACTTGGGCATAATAAGATTTCATGCACACATGATGAGGTACCTAAGCCACATATCCCAAAAAGGAAGATTAGAAGACCTAGGAAAGATGGGGGAGGCCAACCTATCTTTGATTAATTCCCTCAAGCTGAGCCTACTATACCAAGAAGTGATGATGCTCCTCCCACAGTTTCAGAATGTGGTGATCAAGTTGGTGGGCGTAATGTACCAAGAAGTGATGTTACTCCTCCCCCAGTTTCAGAATATGGTAATCAAGTAGGTGGTCCTAATGTTAGTCCTCTAAAAAGGACTAATATGATGGAAAGGAGAGGACGGAAACTAAAGTGTCTGGATCAAGGAACAAAACACCAAAGAAAACACCTAATGGTAAGAAACATAAGAGTAATGCAAAAGAGGATGTATCCCTAACCTGTGATGAGGATTTTGTTGATCTTTTTACTTATACGCCTAATGGTAAGCAAGGTATGAGTCAAGTAACAGAGAATGTTCAGGAACAAGAATATGATGACAATGAGGTGAAGGTGAGTGATAGACTTACTTTACAGGAGTTGCTAGTGTCTGGATATACACATGCTGATGCAGTGGCTGCTATGAAAGAGGTATGTTCTGGTAATCACTATTTTTGGCTTTCATATATAATGATGTGGGTGGTCGTTGTGTTGATGTTCCCGAACAAGAAGTTAAAGTTATGAATAGGCGTGTAGTAAATAAAAGTAAAAAGAAAAAAGTTATGATTCAAAAAGATGAAAATGTGCATGTTTACGGGGATTATGTTGAGGTTGCTGATGTAGCTTTATATATAACCGACTTAGAAAACAATTCTGATGGAGATGAGTTGGGTGATGAAGTTAAAGCTAAGTTTCCCGATAACCTTTTGGCTTTCATATTGTAGACTTACTAACTACCCCTCCATATTGTAGGTTTATGGAGAGGTTGAGGAACAACAGATTGAAGAAAAAGAGGTTGAGGAAGGAGTTGAAGATAGAGAGGTTGAAGAAGAAGAAGTTAAAGGCATACAGGTTGAGCAAGAAGAAGTTGAAGGCATAGTGGTTGAGGAAGAAAGAGTTGAAGAGAGAGAGGTTGGAGCAAGAGTCCTACCCTCCAGAAGAAGTTATGGTGCTTACAATTTCCATTGGGAGAAAAAGAGGAAACCCGCTGAAAGAATTAGGAATTTGAAGCTCAGGAAAATGGTTGAAGATTTTGATGGTGGTGGTTCCTCCAAAACCCCTTGGGTTTTAGAGTAAGGAGTTGTGTTTAAGGGTTCAATGGGTAGAATGGGCATTAGTAAATAGGTTGCCCTTTTTGTAAACATCTACTTTTGGTACACTTGTCTTTTGGTAACAAGCTTCCAATGCATATCCATAATGTTTGGTAGAATTGGAAGTTTGGTTCTAATTAGGTTAAATGGTATGATAGTGGTTTTTGGGAAGCATTGTAAAGTACATTACCATTTTTGGGCTGTTAACTGACATTGATATTTGGTATGATTGTTAAGTTATCAATATATATATATATATATATATATATATATATATACGCCTTGATCACTATAATTGTTCTTACCTTCCATATTTTGGTTAGCTTGGTAAGTAGGTTTATACATATGTATGTGTTAAAGGACTTAATACATTGTTATCATCAAGACATAATAAGTTGTTGTCATTGCCATCTCTTACAAAACCAAAAAATTGCCATACATAACACATGCATCTACTTACTGCCTAACTTAACCAAAATACCCTTACACCTAAACTACTACTACCATTCCACCTGAACCTAACTAATGCCCACAACTTCACAGTGCTTTAACCATAACATGGTGAACCATAAACCCCATCACTATCACAACCACCAAAAGCATGACCATCATAAGTAGCTCCACCTTCAACATGTTTAAAATATCCAGTTGAACTTCTTTGTTGTTCTTGGCCTCCTCCGAAAGCTTCAAAACCTCCATTGCAAATGTTTTCTTGTTGTTAGCCTCCTCCAAATCCATATGGAACTTCCGCATAGTTTCCTTGTAGTAAGTGTTTAGCAAGGGTGGATCAAGCCATAAAAAAAAAAGCCGCATTTTTTTTTGGAGTCCTACACAACAATCATTTGTTCATAATGGTTCAACAAGACCACAAAAAATTACTTAATATTACCTGATAGTTTGGACACCCCCTGAATTTCCTCCATGGATTATCGACAGTTTTGGAGATCGAGAATGTCGCAGGTTCATCACAATCGCATCTCAAATCTTCAGACCAATGATTCCTTAAAGCCCACTCTTTGTAACCTTGTGTGTGCGTGTTGGAGGAGCTTACCATCTTTTTTGGTTTGAAGGTGGAGAGAAGAATCGACCCAAAACTACCTGCAACGTTCGACTAAGGGAGCAACCTGCTGAAACCGGCTCTTTGCCCTCGAACGATAACTCAAAGAAAATGTCGTGGTCACAATAAATGAAAAATTAAATTCAGGGCTTTTTCCAATTTAGTGCCAGAAACATGAGACTTTTGTGATATTAACCCTAATCGATTTAGTCCCTATATATACTTTTTTTATTCAATTAAGTCCTAAATACCGGTAATCCTATTCAATTTAACCCTTTGACCCGGTCAACAGGTTATCCAACTTTTAAAAATCACATTTTTGGCCAAGATTTCAAAATTTATTACAAATTTGGTGCAAAATTTACACTTTTGGCCTAGATTTTAAATTTTGTTACAAATTTGGTCCAAACTTTAACCTTTTTTTTTTTTTTTTTTTTTTGTTGTCTAAAATTAGAATTTTATTATGAATTCATCCTAACTTTAGTTTTTTTTTTTACAACCTTCTAATATGATTTTTCTTTACAAAATCATATTTATACAAAAAAATGTATTTTCACATAAAAATCTTATATTTTATATATAAAAGCTTTTTTAAAAGTTTTTTGTATATGAAATATCTAGTTATAAAAATAAGTATTTATTAAGTATCTAAATACATACAAATCCGTTTTTATAAAAAAATGTATACAAACACCTATCACCTTTATATATATATATATATATATATATATATATATATATATATATATATATATATATATATATATATATATGCACACAAATAGGTGTGTATCTGATTTTTTTTGTTAAAATTGTGTTTGTTTATATTTTTTTTTATAAAAACGTGTTTGAATAATTTTTTTATATAATACGTGTTTGTATACATTTTATAAAATCGTGTTTGTATACATTTTATGAAAACGTGTTTGAATAATTTTTTATATAATATGTGTTTGTATATATTTTATAAAATTGTGTTTGTATACATTTTATAAAATGTATACAAATACATATTATATAAAAAATTATTCAAACACGTTTTTATAAAAAAATATATAGATAAAATAGGTGTTTGTATATATATATATATATATATATATATATATATATATATATATATATATATATATATATATTGTAAAATATGTTTTTGTATACATTTTTTATAAAAACGGATTTGTATATATTTATATAATTAATAAATACCTATTTCTATAACTAGATATTGTCATATACAAAAAAGTTCTTATATAGAAAATATAAGATTTTTATGTGAGAGTACGTGTTTTCTAGTATAAATATGATTTTATAAAAAAAAAAAAAACATATTAGAAGCAATTCTTTAAGAAAAAAAAAAGTTGTAAAAAAAACTAAAGTTAGGATAAATTCATAATAAATATCTAAAATTCCGATAAAAATGGTAAAGTTTGGACCAAATTTGTAACAAAATTTAAAATCTGGGCCAAAAGTATAAATTTTAGACCAAATTTATAATAAACTTTGAAATCTAGGCCAAAAATGTAATTTTTGAAAATTGGATGAGCTGTTGACCGGGTCAAGGGTTAAATTGAATACGATTACGGGTATTTGAGACTTAATTGAATAAAAAAATATATAGAGACTAAATCGATTATGAGACCAATATGTAGGGACTTTGTTGCAGTATGGATTTGGTAGGATTTGTAATATATGTAAAAATTTTGGTTTAATTGAATTATGCACGTGAAGAAAAAAGAAAAAGATTTTTTATTAAATATTTAGATTGGGTTGTTAAGTAGGATAGCCCAAGGATTGAAAACGGGATTCGGCTATATCCACACAAAGTCAGAGTTATTCGTGGGCTTAAATCCATTCAAAACTGGATCGGATCCAAATCGGATTTGTTGTGCAAACCAGATCGGATCTTGATATAAATACGTGAATAAAATCGGATTGGATCCGGATCAATTCAAAGATAGCGACGACTCTGCCTATTTCCTGCATTTGACAATTCTTTTTTCCCCCTTTATTTTCCCGCCGGAGACCGCCATTACCGAGTACTTTCACGGGTTCGCTCGGTAAAGCAAAAGCCAGAGAACGCCGTCGTCATGGCATCGACTTCAGCACCTCGAAGCGATGCAGGTGCATCGAGGATAAAATCCGCTGCTTCCACCCTTTGCTACGATAATCAATCGCTACTCGCCGTAAATCCTTGCTCCTTTCATCGTTTGCTTTCATCAACATCATTTAATTGCGTATCAAAAGACTGTTTGACTGCATTTTTTGTTCAGGATATTCGAAAAGCTCTGACTACCATGAAGGAAATTGGGGTTAGTCTGGAGAGACAACACAAAACCCAAATGGTACATCGATTTTATTTCTAGGGTTTCAATTTGTCACTCCATGCCAATTACATAACAACCGTTCTTGATATACGAAAGAGTTGCACAGTACACCAGCAATACCTAAATCGATACAGAGATTGAATCATTTAAATCGACATTGCCACAGGTGAATGAGCTCGAAGCTGAGTTAATGGAGTTACTGAAAACTTATGAGGAATGTGCTAATCTTTCTTCTGCAATTGATAATGTTGGAAACAGTTATCGCCCCAGTGAACAGGTGTCTGGACTAGCCATCCATTCCAAGTTCTTTTATCTAACTCATTGTTCTTCATTCATTCTCGTATTTCTTGGTTAGAGATTCTGTTAACTCCAATACAATTCTCGCTGATTACTTTAAGTTGCAGCTGACTGATTTTAAGAGCTTGATAGACAAAGAGATGGCAAATGCCAAACGTCGTTCATCATCTGTCCCACAAGTTAATCAATTATTACGTCAGTTCAGAGAAGCTATATGGGTAAGTTTCCTATTCTAATATCATTATAACTTCGATTCACTAGTACTAGATATTGTTATTAAAGTGGCAAGTTATGCATCAAGATAGTCTTTTGTTTTTCCTTCAGTCTATATACTCAAGTGTTTTTGAATATAAGTTGACTTTTATTCATACAGAATGTGCATAATTCTGGACAACCCATGCCTGGTGAAGAACAGGAAGATATTGTAATGACTAGCACACAAAACATCCTTTTAAATATAACTTGTCCCCTAAGTGGCAAACCTGTTATTGAACTCTCTGAACCTGTTCGCAGGTTTGATCTCTATCATTTGATTCACATTTATCACTTTATATATATACGCAATTTCCTATTTCAACAATGAATTATGTGTTTGTATAGACATTGAATCATATAAGATAAGTAAGTATTACAGATAAATTTCATCAAATTTTACAAAACTCCAGCAATGGATTATAAAACCTCCTGTCAACATATAATCTAGCTCATAATTGGTATTGTTATATTGTACATATAAGCGGTTGATTGTTTGAGGGTAATGTGGGTATTTTAATCAAAACTTCTTGTAAGTTGTAATGACCCTTTTTTGCATTGCTACTATGGATGTCACTTTTAAGATCTCTTGTTGATTAATATATGCTATTACAGCATGGATTGCAAGCATATATATGAAAAGAAGGCTATCATGGAGTACATAAGGTCAAAGCATGGTCAATCTAAATGTCCAATGGCAGGTATGTAATTTAACATCTCTTATTTATTAATATGTCAAAGTACATTGCTATTTCCTTCAATTTCTGATCATGTTTCTTTTTTTTTTCAGCATGCCCTAAAATAGTTATTGCAGAAAGAGTGTTTTGTGACCCGTTATTACGCATTGAAATTGATGAATCACGTGCGATGAACAAGCAGACTGAAAGACCGAATATCATAGAGGATTTCACACAGGAATCTGAAGAAGAAGATTCTGACTGAATTACATCTTTAAAAGAAACCCTAGGAACTTTCATGGTATTTGTGTTGAAAAAATATGCAACTACAAAATTTATCCCTCAAATCTTGATTTAAAGTTGTTATCTTTTGGTGGGGAATTTTTGTTGTGTCTTGTTGTGGAATTGAGAGGGCATACTAACATGAAGGAGAGTTATGTTTGTTTGCATCTTGGAAGATTGTAAGAAAGTTCCTAGAAAGCTATTTTTTGGATCCCACCTATTATTATTATTATTTTCATTAAATATTGTTTTGATAAGATATTGTATGATAAATAATGTTTAATAATAATTGAGAAAATATTGTAGCTTGAGAAAATGAAATATATAACAGGGTAAGGGCATCTACAATGGTTAACATCACAATAACTTATTACTTTCGCTGTATTAGCCTTTCAATAACTTTAGGATCAAAGAGTCTGTAGCCTAGCAGCATCAGAAGTTGAAGAAAATGTGCCTTTTAGCTCAAGGTTGAGAGTTTAAGTTTTGTTGAAAACAAAATGTATAGATTTAAGAATATGATAGTGAGTGTGTTTGTAGATTTTCTAAAAAAAAGCTTTTCAATTACTTTTTTTTAACAAAATATGTATTGTAAAAAGTTTCCTTTAATGGTTAACTTTTTCAATAGTTTATTTTTGGGGGTGTGTGTAAAAAATTAAGTAAATTATCCTCAAGTATTTTAACTATCATAGAATTTCCTTATATGTAATATATCTTTTTAAACATACATCATATTTTTTCAAAATAATATTTGTTCATACTATTATCTTAATAAATAAAAATCTCATAAAGTATTATGTGATGATAATAGTTTTTAAACTTTGATATCTGTCATTTTGAAAATTTTGAAAATAATATTTTTAATGACACAAATTTCTATAAAATATATTCATTTTAGTTTTATTTATTCAATTAAATAGATAAACTAATCACAAAATAAAATAATATAAATATTTAAATATAATTAAGATATAAATTAAATTCTTATTAAACATAAGAGAAAAAAAAGAGAAAATTACAAATTTGGCCTAATACACTAATTACTTTGTGGAAAATAACAAAAAAACCCAAATTTGCAATTTTAGCCACTAAAATCGCAGATGGTTTAAACCTATCTGCGATTTCATCAAACCATCTACGAATGTACAAGTGACTAAAGCACGCATGT